AGATCATCCTGATAATATCTCTTGACATAGAGGGAGCCTTCGATAGCGCCTGGTGGCCAGCTATAAGATGCCGATTGGCTGAGGAAAAGTGCCCCTATAACATAAAAACATTGATGTACAGTTCTCTCCAGGATAGGAAAGTGAGACTTAGATATGCAGCTGTGGAACATACACGGGCAACCACTAAGGGGTGCGTACAGGGTTCCATAGGAGGACCGGTCCTATGGAATCTTCTTCTCGACCCTCTCCTAAAAGAAATGGAAGGTAAAAGTGACCGGTGTCAAGCGTTCGCCAATGACATCGTCCTACTATTTGCGGGGGACATGGCATATGATGTCCAAAGACGTGCGGATTCTGCTCTGGAACATGTTATGAGGTGGGGAATTCGTAATAAACTTAAATTTGCGCCACATAAGACCCAGGCAATGGTAATAACCAACAAACTAAAATACGATCCCCCACGTCTGAGCATGGGCGGTATGGTGGTGCGCATGTCGGAGGAGATCAAGGTGCTTGGTCTCGCCGTAGACAAAAAACTTACGTTTAATACACACGTTAGCAATGTGTGCAAGAAGGCCACGTCTCTCTATTCACAGTTATCGAGAGTGGCAAAGATCAGCTGGGGCCTTCAACCCGAAATTATTAGGACGATTTACACGGCGGTCGTTGAACCGGTGGTTTTGTACGCAGCGAGCGCGTGGGCGCCAGCCGCTAAAAAGTTGAGAGTCAGGAAGCAACTGAATACTGTGCAGAGAGGATTCGCTCAAAAAATTATCAAAGCGTACCGGACCGTATCCCTACACTCGGCGCTAGTACTGTCTGGTCTGCTTCCTCTGGACTTGAGTGTCCAAGAAGCAGCATCCCATTTTGAGGCGAGGAGAGGAAAACTCCAGTCGCTGCTGGCAGATCGAGTGGTGGAGACAAAGGCGAGCTTTATGGAGCTGCCTCACCCCGTATCCTATATGGATCTGCAATTCATATGCCTGGTAAACGAGGACGAAATGAGACTTGTAATAGTGGAGACGGGCTGTCCACTATTAACAGACTCCGAGTGGTTTTCTTTAAGGTGGAGAAATGAAACTACTGTTTATAAGCAAAGCGGAGTATGAATTTAGAATGTACTGTCGAATGGGATTCGGAATGGAATATATTTTGCATCAACCTTGCCTATATTTATATGGCTGGCTCACTATTGATTTGCCAATGGTAACAATTAATATTTTGCCTAGCCAATTATATTGCTTATTTTATGACCAATGAAAACTATTTAAAATATACAATTATCTACGTTTCGTTTCCCGGCGTGAGACTTGTTTGTTGTTCACGAAGCTACGTCGCTGGACCAGGCTATATAAGACATGCAGATCGGTGCGCACGCGTAGTCGGCGGGCGGCGGCGGTGTGGAATACAGCTCCGGAGCAGCAAGAGGAAACGAACTGCGGCGTTGAAGAAACGGCTCACCATTGGTCGACGGATACGTGACGATAGCGGCGTGTGAAGTCGGTGTGGCGCTGAATGATATTTGCGGCTGCTTCTTGTTTCTTTATAAGAACGTCAAATTATCTATATACAGTCCGCAGTATCTCAGTAGCCAAGAATAATTAGGAAATAAAATGTTTTTTTATTTATTCTCGCCTTCCGCGTTATGGTAGCAGCGGAGTATATATTATTTATTCCCGTTTCGGTTTGATTAATCTGGCTGCTACAGACTCAACAACAACCAGAGTCTCCGAATATTCACCGACGGGAGTAAAATAGAGGAAAAGGTCGGAGCGGCTTTATCTTTTTGGAATAATGCTGGTGAGACCCAAACTCTGAAACTCAAACTGTCGGAGTACTGTACCGTTTACCAGGCGGAATTACTGCCCATATACATGGCAACTGAGCTGATTCTCTCTAGCGCGGAGACAACGGTGACTCTAGGTCTGTTCTAGAGACCATTGTAAACCAAGACTCTCAACACTCTTTAGCAGTCAAGACCCGCAAAAACATTTATAACATCTTAAGGCAACAAAAAACACTACACTTCTTCCGGATAAAAGCCCATGCTGTGCCAAGCCAAAAGTAAAGTGCATGACGAGCTGGCTAAACACGCGGCGCTGCGGGCAAAAAGAAACCGGACTACGACCTTTGCCCAGTCTCTTTTGTAAAGCGTCTCATTCGATCTGAGACGCTTAAAGAGTGGAACCGGAGGTATACAGAGGGAGAGACCGCCAGAACAACTAAAGCCTTTCTGTCGGACGTTGAGACAGTCCACAAGGTGATTAGGGAAACATCGCTGTCTCCGACGATGACCCATACAATAAACAGACATGGTGGGTTCTCCGAGTATCTGTATCGGTTTCGGTGCAAGGAGAGCCCATCATGCGTCTGTGAGCCTGAAATCGACGAGACGGTGCTGCACATCCTCCTGCAGTGTCCTCGGTTTGATAAAGCCAGATACAATCTCGAGTCTGAAACCGATATTCAGATAATAAAAGAAAATTTACACATGCTGCTCATTGAAAAAAGGACTCGAAATAAGTTTATTAAATTTTGTGAGGGTGTAGTTAAACATATCACTAAACATAACCAAAAGTAAATTATAGAAATTTAATATATTTTAGTATGACGAATATTTTTAATATGATAAATGTGACTATTGACTATTATTGATTATTATTGATGTTATTATTTACTTATTTGTGTAATTTGAACTAATTATGAATTCAATTGTTATTTAGGACTTAATATTCAATTTAGAAATAAAATCGGCGCTTCCTTGTGTTTATACTTGTATATACAGAGAGGATGCGCTGACTCCAAATTCAAAATTATAAGATTTATTTACAAATTGTATGTGTACTAAATATAGACGAATGTATAAGTAAGAGATATAATATAATGTTATTGCGTGTATTAGGTTAAGAATAGTAGGACTCCCGAACGAAAACCCGGAGTCCTCTACACCCTCTATAAAACAAAAAGGACAAAGTAAATAAAAAACATGAAATAAAGTCCATGTCAAGCTGACAATGTCTCTGACCTCCATGTCAAAGGAAAGCAGTAAAACATACATTAAAAAAAGGGGAAGGCGTTGGCCGTTAGATTGGACATAGCGACGGCCTTTGATCGAATTTGTCACAAAGCGCTTCTTTCGAAGCTTCTTTCCTATGGTCTTCCCAAGAAATTGTGCAATTAGATCACCAGTTTTCTTGCAGATCGGAGCATCAAGGTTATAGTAGATAGTGCATGCTCCGATTACAAACCCATTAACGCTGGTGTTCCTTAAGGCTGCGTGCTATCACCATGCTGTTTCTACTGTATATCAATTATATGTTGCAAACCGGTAACATTCATTGCTATGTAGACGATAGCTCTGGTGATGTTTTATAGTACCGGAACAAACATGTGTCTGAAATGTTTAACAAAGTCTCTAGGGGCGACTAAATCTAGTCCAGTTCTATCCCCTGAAGACATAAGTTTACTGTTTACCGCTATAAGGGACTCCTTTGTCTTATCTCCTACGTTTCAGGGCTCTCCTTTCGGTGCCTCAGCTGGTATCGCAATCCTCGGTGTCGACATACCGAGAAGGTCAAATTGGCCTCTAAAAAACTTGGCGCGCTCGGCAGAGTGGAAGTATTTCATAACAGCACATTGTCTGCAAATTTACAAGGTGCAAGTTCGGCCTCACATGAAATACTATTCCCATCTCTGGGCTGGGGCTCCCCATTGCCAGTTCCTTCGACTTCGGATCGGCTTGACTCACTGGCACTGCGAGGAGTTGTTGCATTTCTACGCGTATTTTATCGCATCTACCACGGGGAGTGCTTTGAGGAATTGTTCGGACTAATTCCAGTCGCTCAATTTCACCATCACAAATCACGAAAAACTCGTGATACCATTCTACCAACCATATCATCTGCATTATTGGCTGTATACCACTGTGCGATTTTGAAGAAATTTTCTTCGTTCCACAACTTCCTTGTAAAATCAACTACCACCAGCGATTTTCCCGGACCGACAAAACTTAGGGATCTTAAAGAAAAGAGCCTACTCGTTTTTAAAAGTCCGGCAACGCGTCCACGATACCCCTGGTGTTGCAGTTGTTGGCATCAGTTTTAACGCGTCTTTTTCGGTACTTTTACTCCTTAGGCGTAGTCCCAAACTAATGGAATAGAGCTTTGGTGCACCAGATCCCTAAAAACGGCGACCGCTCAGATCCATTCATCAACTGGCTTAACACTCTCAAAATAATGGAAACAATTATTAACAAGCCAGCTCATGAGGTACCTTGACGATCACCAGTGACTGTCAGTACCGTCTCCGTCTGGTTTGCTCAGCTGGTGATCTTTTGGATTACCTAACCTATAGATAGGCTGTGTTTAAGCCGTGTGGTGTGCGGTGGAGTAGAATAGCACCACCCCATGTCTACCTGTGGGTGTCGTAGAAGGCGACTAAGGGAGTGTAGAAAAGGTCTGACCCTCTGTACCTTTTTCACTGATATACCTACTGTTCCATCTGTCCGAGTCCCTCTCCGGTCGTAACGGTCTCCGTTCCACTGGGTCCAGGGGGACAAAGACGAGTACGTGCACCTGTGTTCGCGCGTACATTTGTGCACGTTAATATCTCCTGCGCAATTGACCTGCTTCTAATTAGGACTCCGATCTAAATCTATGTCCTACGGCGATGGGAGGAGGTAGAGAGGCTTAACGTGATGCTCGTTGGGTTTTGTCTGACTCCTGCACGTAGGCGGTCTTGGAAGTGTAATATACATCGTGGTAGTTTCTGCCTCGCATCGGGGTGACGGAGCGGATTCGGCAGCACCCAAGGTGACAAAGCAGCCATATTCAGGGAGGCACTGCTTTCCTCGCTCAGCCGGGGAGGGGGCTAGAAAAGGTGCCCTAAACAAATGCTCACTCCAACCCTTTAGGATGGTAGCAACCGCGGCTGCCTCAGCATCACAAATCCACGGTCGACGCCACAGAAAAAATAATGAAAATTTTAATTTATCAAGATCAATGACATTTGGCGCGTGGAATATGCGCACTCTTCTTGACCGTGAAAATGCCTGTCCTGAGCGGAAAACTGCCATCGTAGCTCGGGAACTAAGTCGCTATAATATTGATGTGGCTGCACTCAGCGAAACACACCTCCCCGACGAAGGAGAGCTGGTAGAATACGGCGGCGGGTATACTCTCTTTTCCTCAGAGCCGCGAAGGTCTGGTGTAGGTTTTGCTGTCAAGAACTACCTTGCTGCTCAACTATAAGAATACCCTGTACACATCTCGGACCGCATTACCACATTGCGCCTTTACATGGGACGTGAAAACTATCTTAATGTCATCAGTGTCTATGCCCCTACGCTAGACAAGTCTGATGAAATTAAGGACAAATTTTACGAAGAATTGACGCGGTGCATACATAGATCGTATCCGTCCAAGGGAGCAAATCCTTCTCTTGGTCGACTTTAATGCCCGAGTAGAACGAGATTATGACGCCTAGCCTAAAGTTCTGGGCAGACATGGTGTTGGTAAAATGAACAGCAGCGGCCAACTGTTGCTTAGTTTTGTGCACGATTACATCTTGCAATTACAAATAGTATGTTCAAATTACCTGCCAAGTACAAGGCAACGTGGATGCACCCCAGATCGAAGCATTGGCACCTTATCGATTACGCTATCGTGCGTCAAAAAGACATCTCTCAAGTCCTAGTCACTCGTGTCATACGTGGTGCTCACTGTTGGACTGATCACAGGCTTGTTGTTATTAAATTAAATCTTCGTCTTCCACGTCCTTGTAGATCTGAAAGATCTAAACAGATACGTCTAAACCTTGAACGACTCCAAGATACTAACACGAGGGCTAAATATGCCGAAACCTTGAGCACTGCTCTGCAGCCCCTCGACCCAAAATCAGGTGAGATCAATACTATCTGGGAGTCTCTATCTTCTCATGTTCTCGACACTGCTAAATCTACTTTAGGTTTGAGAGCTCGAAAACATGAGGACTGGTTTGATGATAATGATGGGGTACTTACGGTACTTACGGAAAGATAAGTGGTGGCAGGAGAAAGCTCGTCAGATGCAGTGGCTCGCTGATACCGACCAGCTCGGTGAGTTTTATGCTGAGGTGCGACATCTACTCGGTACGTCCACTATGGCAAAAGTTCCACTGAATTCAACTGGTGGTGAAGCGCTTTTTAAAAGCAGGGAGGAAATACTCGAGCGATGTGCGGAGCATTTCAACACCCTACTTAACGTGGATCATTTTTTTGTTTTTCACATGACCTAAAGCTGGCTACTAAAATTGACATTTATAAGGCGGTAGTGCTGCCTAAGATATTGTACTCTTCAGAATTATGGATAGCTTACCGCCGTCACATACGGACGCTGGATCGCTTCCACTTGCAATGTCTGCGCAAAATTCTCAACATCCGTTGGTCTGATCGCACTCGAAACACGGAAGTGCTGCGTAGAGCCCATACCATGGGGATTGAGGCCTACCTTATGGAGTGACAACTCCGTTGGTGTGGACACTTATCGCGAATGTCAGACCAGCGTACGGCAAAGTGCATCTTTTTCTCTGAACTTGAGAAGGGCAAGCGTAAGCATGGCGGACAACTCCTCAGGTACAAAGATGTACTTAAGCGCCACATGAAGAAGTGCGACATTGAACCTTTAGAGTGGGAACAAGCAGCCACTCGACGACCGGAGTGGAGATCTTTGGTGACAGCCAAGGTCAAAATGTTTGAGGAGAATCGCTGATCTGAATTGGATGCCCGACGTGATGAACTCAAAGCACGCGCACCTTGTGCGATTAACTACAATTTCTGTAACGGTGTGTTCACCTGCCCGCATTGCGCGCGAACATTTGTAAATAAGATCGGCTACGTTAGCCATGCACGAGCACACCAACGACAGGATCGGAGTTGAAGAGGTCGCCGTGGCCGAAATCGTTATAGACCGGCCGTGCCAATATTTCTCGAGAAAACGTCGCCGAGTACCGGGACAAACTTGTGTCTGAAGTCGAAACTTTGTTGAACAAAGTCTCGAACTGGGAGCAACTAAATACAGTCCAGTTCAACCCCTTGAAGAAACAAGTTTGCGCGTTTACCCCTAAAACGGATCCCTTTGTCGTATCTCCTCAGTTTCAGGGCAAATAACAAACAACGAATAATGCGTAGTTTAGAATGTAAGTTTAAACACTAGAACCGACTAATAAATTAATTTAAGTAATGAAATTATGATTTTTAAGTTTTAGAAGTGTATAAAAAATTGGGGGCGCTAAAACTAATTGATTTCCAAGGGTGCGGTATAAGAAATGGGTTTGATAATCTCTGGTGTAGTGTGTGACATGCATTACAGCCTATTAAAAGTCCACTGCTGAACATAGAAGCTTATAGATTATTTATATGGGGGGAGGGGGATATTTGATATATTTGTCACGCTAGGCTGGCGGGTAAGCAACCGTAATATTTTTAATTATTACTATCTCCTGTGGTTTGTTTCTCTCGAATGATACTATACAATAACATCATTTAATAAATGATTTTTAATAATCAAGTACAATTTATGTATATTACATCCGACAGTGGAATCAGAGCCAACTCGAATGAGTGATGTGATTTACAAAGCCAAGAATTACAAAGGCCTACCGATCGACTTATCGCCTTCAAAACGAATTAATGAAATTCCAGAGATCAAGACAACTGTTAAGAGCAACACGGAGCGTAATCATCTTCTTTTTATTTTATAGAATAAGGATGACCCATGTGTGTGGCTCATAGACATCTACATCTTTCCTCGATTAAGTATCAAAATGCCGATACGTTGACAAAAATGGAATGCCTCGTTTACAGTTAAATGAGTCTCCGTTCTCTTCTTCGGTCTCTACACAAACAATGCAGCATTACAACTATAATATAGCTACAGCGTAGCTCTACAATGAATAATCTTCTTTTTTATCATCCTGTAAATGTCTACTGCTGGGCACGGACCTCTTCCCAAAAAGAATTTGACTCAATTATCACGCTTCCCTAGTGGATTAACGATCGCAGCACCAGGTGTCTTACAAACTGGACTCTGCTCATAGCCTATGAGTCACAGGTCCAGATATTTTATGCCTAGCGTAAAGAGATGCTAATGCTGTCATCTCTTAAAAACCTTAAGATCTGTCTTGTATTACATTTGGTGACGACACACGGCACTGTCGTATTTATTTAAATAAATTGCGTATGATTTAGGAAAGTAAGGCAAGTGTAGAAAACAAAGAGTAAAATAAAGATTTTTGCTTTCTTGTTCAGCACGTAAATAGTCCACTCCTGTGTATAGGATTCCCCCATTACAAAGTTAAGTCAGTGCTATGACATAGGTATAAACGAATACATAAATTGCATAGTTGCAGAGATACATTTACTAAGTATTTTTAATTCTTTGGTGTTGACTTTTACTTTTTATTGCCATCGCAGTAACATCAAGAAAGTCGTCTAAATAATCACGTTAAAAATTGCATACCTATTTTACCCTTAGGGGAGGTATTATTTCCCGAAAAGTATAGGGACTACCACTAAAGCAGGTATATAAACATACACGTATTAAGTTAAAAAAACGAGTCATTATAATCGTTTCACAACTGACATAGATATCGCGTAATACAAAAAAAACATGTTTTACATTTAAGTGTCATCTCCGTTTTTAAAGTCGACTAAGTAACAGTAAAATCTGACTCCATTATCAAAAAATGAATATGTTTAAATTTGAACTTTCAATTAAAGGGCCCGTTACAACAATGTTTAAGTAGGAAGTAAATAATGCCAAGCAGCACATATAATATCGATTTTTTTATCTCAGCCACGACTGCTGTATACCCGCCTCTCAGCCGCCGATTCCGTCGCATCTATAATCCTGATGAAACGGCCTCTATCTCCGAATATCCGTTCATGGCGGCGCTGCTCGTGAATGGACAGCTGTGGTGTGGAGCCGCCATTATTAGCACCGACAGTATTTTGACTGCAGCACATTGCTTACAACTGTGAGAAATCTTGCCTTATAATTGTATTGTAATTAACGGAAATATTAGTCTCGTTTTATATAAAATGGGGGTGACAAACTAGAACATAGTTCACCTGATGGTAAGGATATGGCCCACAGACATCTACATTTATCCTCCATTAGGAATCGACGCAGATGGGTTGTCACCCCTGAGGACTAAAATTTAATGCCTTCTATCCATTGAAAAGGGACTCCGGTTCTCTACACTCACAGCGTGGTCCTACACCGGACGAGCTGACCAATTCTTGCTACTCATACAACCATAATACCTAGGCTGCACTAAAAGTATCGGGAATGGAATATTTCCACTGTTCCTGTCATATTAAAATCTTTTCAATTGAAAACTCCTTGGTTTTAAAAATCGAATACCATTTATTTATTTTAAAAAAGATTTTCGGTCTTGTCACAAGGTTTTGTCAAACTTGTTTAGTCGTTGAGAAAATGGAATTGACTCAAGAAAATTCAAGAGCGTTAATTTATTATGACTTTCGAAGTGATTTAACACAAAAACAGTGTATTGACCGGATGATTTCTGCATTCGGTGATGAAGTCATCCAAAACCACAATTTATCGCTGCTTTGCTGAATTTCAACGTGGACGTGTCAAGCTCAGTGATGATCCCCGTCAAGGTCGTCCAAAATTTGCAGTCACCCACGAAAACGTTGATGCTGTGCGTAAGCTGATTGAGGAAGATCGACATGTGACATACCGCGAAATTCAGACCCTTTAGACATTGGCATGAGTCAAATACAAATAATATTGCATGAACAATTAGGTGTATAAAAGTTGTTTTCCCGATGGATACCGCATTCGCTCTGTGAAGAGCAAAAAGCGGCTCGCGTTACTTGGTGCGTCGGAACTCTCGAAAGATTCGACGCAGGATCCTCAAATACTGTATACAACATCTTATCAGGTGACGAATCCTGGATATACGCGTACGAACCCGAAACAAAAAACCAGTCAGGAGTTTGGGTGTTCGGAAAATGAGTTAAGCCAACAAAAATTGTTCGTTCACGGAATGTTGCAAAAAAAAAATGGTGGCCACGTTTGTCTCCAAAACCGGCCATGTTACGACTATTCTTGAGAGACAAATAACGGTTAATGCAGAATGGTATGCTAGCATTTGTTTGCCACAGGTCGTTTCTCAACTCCGTAAAGAGAACTGCAACCGCCGCATCATCCTCCATCACGACAATGCGAGTTCTACACCGCACACTGAACAAAAGAGTTTTTAAAGCAAGAAAACATAGAATTGTTAGACCATCCGCCGTACAGCCCCGACCTAAGCCCTAATGATTTCTATACTTTCCCTAAAATAAAGAATAAATTGCGTGGACAGAGATTTTCATCACCTGAAGAAGCTGTGGACGCCTACAAAACGGCCATTTTGGAGACCCCAACTTCCGAATGGAATGGTTGCTTCAATGATTGGTTCCATCGTATGGAAAAATGTGTCAAATTTCGCGGAGAATACTTCGAAAAGCAATAAATACATTTTTAAATAGTAATGTTGTGTCACTTCCTTGATTCTCGAAATTTTGAGAGCTATTTACTGAATAAAAGTGGAACAGCTTTTATAAGCTAGTAGCTTAATAAAATACTTAGGTTGGGTTAAGTCATTCATTACAATTGTAAGTGAAATTATAACATCGCATTTATTATAAAAAAGATCCCGGTTTTTTGCTGGTTTTTTTCTCAGAAAGTCGAAGGTTTTAACTTCATATAAGCATACATTGAAGGAAATGTATCTCCCCCATAGTTTTTTTTATAGAAGAGGGGGCAAAGTACCGCCGCCCATAATCAACCGTAACACCCGGAGAATTGTAAGATAAGATAAGATAAGATAAGATGCTTTATTTGTCAGAATATGGTACATTACTGTTGTTACAAAAGAATTTTGATCCTAAATATTCTGCCGTTTCCGGCGTACAAATATTTTCAGATAGATAATTTTTCTAATAAAGTAGAAAACTAAGACACTAATTATTATATAGTATAAAGATACT